GAGGTTGGAAACACGCTTCAGTGGCAAAATTACTTCAATTAATGTGAGTGGAATACAAAGGAGAGACTGCAGAAATGCGATGCAGCTTCAGAAATTATGCCATTAACGTGTTTGCACGGAGGCACACAATGACTGCAAAGGTCTCGTTTCAACGGCACCTATCACAAAGCTACAGGCGACAATATTTATCAGTTCTCCCATTTCTCAAGAGACAGATCGCCCGCCTTGGTGGAATCATTTTGGGCCTTTTGATAAGCCAACAGCTGTTTGCCTCGAGGACAAAGAACAGGGAGATCCAGAAGAAGAAGAAGAAGAAGAAGAAGAAAGAAACGCATTATGAACCCCTGACAGTTTAATAATGATTTTATACAGACGAGACAATGAAAAACAATAAGAGTTACCCAAGAAGCAGGAACCCAATTATGGCTTCATTCTGACGTGAAGCCTGAGAGAGGCTTAAGAAGGTTGAAGTGAAAGAGCTGCCTTCTAGATCATCTACAAATGGGAGAATTCAAAAGGAAAGGAGAATGAAGAGCCGCTCACCCCAAAAAGGGACTCTTCTCTACGCACGGGATTCACAATAGTTGACAAGGTTTCGACAAAAGAGAATCTTTGTGGTTCGGGGTTGAAATGCGGGGTCCTTGGGGCTGTCAGAGCTTGGTGGTTTTCTTGCAGACGTTTCATGACCCATCTAGGGAGCGTCATCAGTCTAGAAGGGAGTGGGGTTGTTGGGGTGTGAGGAGGAGGAGGAGGAGGAGGAGGAGGAAGAGGAGGAGGAGGAGGAGGAGGAGGAGGAAGAGGACTGTGGGGTCCTTGATACTCTCTGAGCTTGGCTGTTTTCTTCCAGGCATTTCATGACCCAACTAGGTAACATTATCAATGCTAGAAGGGAGTGGGGTTTGCAGAGTGGAAGAGAAGGGAGGAGGAGGAGGGGGAGAAGGAGGAGGGAGGAGAGGAGAGGGGAAAGAAGAAGGAGGAATGGAGGGGGAGGGGGAGGAATAGAAGAAGAAATATAGGGCCCTTGGTGCTCTCTGAGCTTGGTGTTTTCTTGAAGACATTCCATGATCAAAGTACAGAACATCATCAGTCTTGAAGGGTGTGTGGTTTGTTGACGGGAGGAGGAGGAATATTAATAGCACTGAGACGTATATTCCACAGTCCCTTTACAGCCCTCTCTAAGCAGTTTTACAGAGTCAGCCTCTTGCCCCTGGTCCTCATTTTACCCACCTCGGAAGGGCAGAAGGCTGAGTCAACCTGGAGGAAGTCAGAGTCGAACTGCTGGCGGTAGGCAGAGTTTGTCTGCAATCCTGCAGTCTCACCACTGTGCCACCCGGGCTCATGGAATGTGGGATTCTTACTGCTCTCTGAGCTTGGCTGTTTTCTTGCAGACATTTCACGACCCAACTTGGGAACATCATCAGTCTACGGGGGGGGGGGGTTTGGGGGGGGGGGGGGGCAGGAGGAACAGGAGAAGGACGACTGTGGGGTCCTTGATGTTCTCTGAGCTTGGTTGCTTTCTTCCAGGCGTTTCACGACCCAACTAGTTAACATTATCAATGCTAGAAGGGAGTGGGGTTTGCAGAGTGGAAGAG